GTGAAGAGCAGAAGCTCAGGGCTGTACCTCTCTTGGATTTTGTGCTCTGGGAAAAGTACTAGCCTGCCTGCTCCTTGGGGCCCCAACTGTCCTTGGTGTGTGGGGCCCGCCCAACCCCAGGCAGGCCTCTTCAGGGTTCCTCTTTCTCTGCCCCTTCTGACAAGTTACTCCCAGGGACTACAAGTTGTGTGACCTGCAGCCACTGTCCTCCTTGGCTCAGCATACAAAGCAAGGAGGGCATGCTTGTGAGCTCACTTTTCACAGAATGAGGTAGACTAACAAAGCATTGAACTCATTTCCTGGATAGTGCTCTCCATATGTTAGCCTGGGGCCTCCATCGCTGGGCCTAGTGAGATTCCTGGTCCTCAACTGTTCTCTAAGACGATTCCTAGCACACAGCAGACCTCCCTAGGCATGAAGTCCAGCCGCACACAAGGCCATTTGCCATGCCGGGCATCTAGCTCCTGGACCTCTCCCTGCCTTTTTCAGTGAGAAAGTAGGCTGCAGTGTCAATTCTACTAGTCCTAGCCTGTAACCCCTCCCATGAACAGCTCCTAGCCCAGAGCATCATGTCAACTTGCTTCAATTATTGTGATTCTAGGGTGGAGCCCACTTCACTTTGGAGTTCCTAAGGAAACTCAAGTCAAGTCCCACATGAACTCCAGGGAAGAAGCATCGGCAGGTTACAGAGAGGAAATGCACTATAGTTCCTGGTACCCATGTCTTTGCCCATCTTTCTCAGGGGTTGTCAGACTCTGGGCTTGTCAACTAGAGTGTGGTGAGGGCGAGTGGGCAGCTCCATTTCTGACAGCTGGTTACTTTCTGAATGGCCATTATCTCCTGGAGACGCTATCATTTCAGCCTGTATTGTCTAGGTATGTGTAGCCCTGTCCTCATTCCTGACAAGGGGACCAGGGTACCGTGATTCTCTCTGGTCTGCGTGGATGAGAAGGGGAGAAAGGAAGGAAAGAGACCCAGCACCCCCCCAACCCACACCTCACATCTACCTGAGCTGTAGATTCTTCATGAACTCCTCCATTGTCAGTTGGTCCAAAAGCACAAAGTCTGGTTTCCCATACTCAGGACCTTCTTCGTCCTCCATCCTGCCCACTGGAAGCCTTCAGGACAGGTCGTCAGAGCTTTCTTTACAGAGGTGAAGGGGAAGACAGAAAGGGGAGGCCCAGCCCTGCTTAACTCCTGCAGTACTTCAGTAAAGTAGGAAGTGGGTTCTGCCCGGGGAGTTTGGCCCTGCCCACTTGTTACTCTCTTGCCTGGGTGCTTCAGGCACTGTTTCCTGCTCCCTGGCCCACAAAGTCTATGCTTAAGGGTCTGTTCTGATGGGATCTTTATTGGTCTCCTCAAAGCTCTTTCCAAGCTAGGCATGGTGGTACATGCTTGTAATCCCAAACATTCTAAAGATGAAGGGCAAGCTAGGATTTCCCCTTCCTTCCCCCCCCCCTTCTTTCTTTCTTCTATCCCCGTAGTCCAAGCTGGCCTCCCCAAAGTAGCTAGGATTGTACCAGGCTCAGCAAAAGGGATGATTCTTTTAAAAAATTTAAACATCTATTTTGTGTATGAGTGTTTTGTCTACATGTATAAGTACACCATGTGGATGCCTGGTGTCTACAGAGGGCTGGATGGCTGTAAACTGCAGACCTTTGGAGGAGCAGTCAGTGCTCTTAACTTCTGAGCCAGCTCTCCAGCCCAACAAATATTTCTAGGCCCCTCGTGGTTACTCAGCCATACGTCCGCTGCCCCAGAGCTCAACATTAGCCAGGGGTGGCCACAATAGAGTTTAAACCATAGACTTCCTGCCTGACCCAGCAGATGAGAGAGTGGTGGGGACTCAGCACCCTCTCATTCCTCACCAGTGACAAGGGAGGGGAGGAGTACACTACGCAGCCCTCTAGTGGGCTAGCCTTTGGTAGGATCCTCTTGCATGCTCTTTCATCCTGCCTCTGAGATAAGACCACTATTTCTTGGAGCTCTGGGCCTTCATCTTAGCTCTCACAGGTCTCAGCCCACCATTGAGCATGTAGATGGCTGGTATATTTTAAAACGGCTAGGTGACACTCAGATTTCTCTGTCCAGTCCTCCCTCCTGATCACATGGTCTGCCTGCTGGTAGGCAGCTCTCTCTGCTCCCTTCTCTTACGCTGGGAGGAGGCTAGATGGTAGGCCCAAATGTTCTCAAATATGAGTTATTTGCAGGCCAACTTTGAGAGACCTTGTATTCAGATATCTGACAATTGTATTGCTTTTTTTTTTTTTTTAAAGACAGGGTTTCTCTGTCCCTGACTGTCCTGGAACTACCTCTGTAGACATGCCTCTGCCTCCCACGTGCTGGGATTAAAGGTGTTCTCTATCACCATCTGCTGACTATTGTATTCCAACCATTCCATTTGATTTTTAAAATTATTTGATAATGCAACATACCTAATGAAGTTGTAAGTTCTAATCCACCATGTGATAAAAGCAGATATCATTAGTGATGAGACGAGCCAATGGCTAAAACTGTCCCAGATCCAGTTGTAGGGCTCTGTCTGGCTCCTCCCTGGGGGCAGTACAGCCCTTAAGCCCCAGCCAGCCTGCTTCCTTTTAAGCCTGGCATGAGATCATTCCATCTACAGCCTCCTGTGGTGGTGCTTTGGTAGGGTTTCCCCAACCCGGGGACTCCCACCCTTGGGTTTCACTTCACAAAACCCCAGGCCTTAAAAAGCTCTGGGACTTGTGGTGATTCAATCAAGAAAGGACGTGGGTTGAGTTCCAGTTAACATCTGAAACACGGAACTCTGCAATCATCAAAAAAATTACACCTGTCATGATATAGTGTATGTGGGGTTTTTCTTCTAACCACTTAAAAATTCCAAGATCATTCTTAGGTCAGAGGTTGACTCTGGGTATAGCATTAGACTCTGGTTATTTCTATGCCCTGTCAGCATGATCCACACAGGAGTTACTCTTTCACACTATTGAAGCTAAAGAGATGACACATTAATTTCTCCCTGGATTGAACCAAACTATAGGTCCCTTTGGCATCAAACCCAGAGGTTCCAGTTGTTTTGAGAAGAGTTGGTCTGGTGTTCACTTGAAGCTCCCTCATGGCATGGTCCTTATATCAAATTTGCAGGGAACAGCAAACTTGCAGCTAGGGCAATAAGGTGGAGCCATCACCCACTCAGTCTGCTAGGGACTGAGGAAACCCTGGCAGTTTTCTGTCTAGTGGCAAATTGACCATCTATGTGTGTTTGTGTGTGTGTTGTGTCTCTGAAGCATCTTTTGTTGGCACCCACATCTGATCTTTACAGCAGTCTTGCTGCGATACCTTAGTTTCCCCCATAAAGTTGAACCACAGATTATATATATATATATAGTGTGTGTGTGTGTGTGTATAATTTAATGAGTGTTGTCTTCATACACATCAGGAGAGGAAATCAGATCTCAATACGAATGGTTTTGAGCCACCACGTGGTTGCTGGGAAGTAAACTCAGGATCTCTGGAAGAGCAGCGTTCTTAACTGCTATCTACCTAGCCCATGCATGAACCACAGCTTTTTAATCTATTTTTACAGTTTGTATGTGCGTGTGCACCCGAGCATTTGTGGTGTGGGAGTTGATAGGCTCTCCTGTTTGAGTACTTTCTATTGTCCCTACCAGGAATGTGGGGGGTCTGGCATCTCTAGGTACTGTTCCATTCACTATGTCCACAGAAAACTAAAATTTACTCACTGTACCTTCAATGGCCAATTTCGACAGGCCTTGCCTAATACATTTCTACTACATTTCCTTTTTTTTTTTCTGAGACAGGGTTTCTCTGTATAGCCCTGGCTGTCCTGGAACTCACTCTGTAGACCAGTCTGGCCTCGAACTCAGAAATCCGCCTGCCTCTGCCTCCCAAGTGCTGGAATTAAAGGTGTGCGCCACCACTGCCCAGCGCCCACTACATTTCCTAACAATACCTGTGTAAGCTAGCCTGTGGGTATGGCCATGGACAGACTATACTTTTAGGTTGAATAGCTGACACTCGGGAATATCCCTCACTTGGCTTCCTATTTTTTTTTTTTTTTTGTTTTTTCGAGACAGGGTTTCTCTGTGTAGCCCTGGCTGTCCTCAAACTCAGAAATTCACCTGCCTCTGCCTCCCAAGTGCTGGGATTAAAGGCATGCGCCACCACTGCCCAGCATGGCTTCCTATTCTTGATCCCAACAATTACTGCTATATGAAAAGATACAGGTTTTCAAAAACTCAAAATCTTTGTGTCTTGTCTTGTGCACTGGTGCCCAAGGAGGCTGGAAAAGGGTGTCAGATCACCTAGAATAAGTTTCAAATGGCTGAACCATCACATAGGTGCTAGGAATTGAACCCAGGCAGCAGCCTTGCCTGCCCTGGAACTCATTTTGCTGGCCTCAAACTCATGGGAGATCTGCCTGCCTCTCCAGTACCTGCATTATGGTATGAGATTAGAACTGCAGTTATGCTGGGCAGTGGTGGCGCACGCCTTTAATCCCAGCACTTGGGAGGCAGAGGCAGGCGGATTTCTGAGTTCGAGGCCATCCTGGTCTACAGAGTGAGTTCCAGGACAGCCAGGGCTACACAGAGAAACCCTGTCTCAAATAAAAAACAAAACAAAAACCCAAACAAACAAAAGAACTGCAGTTACAACCGCCTGATACAGGTACTGGAAGCACATACCCTTGACTGCTAAGCCCTCTTATATCAGCCAAGAGCAGATCCTGAGGACCTCAGGGTACAGCCCCTCTGCGCCTCACCCCTCAGCTACAGTACCATTAGTAATTCTAACCAACTAAGCACTCCTCATCCATTCAGCCAAGTGCAAGCTCCAAATGGTCATTAAAGGTACATATCCAGGCAGGAGGTGGCACATGTAATCATCTGCATGTCCTTGACTGAGAATGGAAAGGCACCTTGGTTCACATGGGCTGCCACCAGTCCGTTTGTATTTGGCACATCTAACGTGCAAAGAAAACAGGCTAAGAGGAATCAAAGGTAAAAACCACATTTATTATTATTTTGAGACCAGGTCTTTTGTAGCCCAGGCTGGCTTGATCTTGCCTCCAGAAGTATTCTAATTAGCAGGTGTGTTTTCCTCTAGCTGGCTACAATACCCATGGTTTATTCTATTCAGATGCCAGACAATCACACAGCCAGGTTCCTTATTCAAAACCTGAAGGACAAACAGAATCAAGCTTAGGCCAAGAACCAGAAACTGCAGATTCCTTTCTAGAAGGGAGGCCACGACACAGCTGGAATCTCATTTCTTCGTCTCCATTTCTGCATCTGCAAAGATTAAAAAGGCTGTTAAGTTATGCGGTGAAAACGCGCATCTTCAGGAGACTAAGGGCTGCTGTAAATGCCCACTGCCATGAGGGGCAGTAACAGAGCCCTGACTGCATCCCTACTGGGCCAATAGGCCCACTCCCATGGCAGCTAGACATATGAGGACATGCATACTACGCTGAAACCAGAGACAAATGTCATCTATAAGAATCAGAACCCAGAAGGTGTATTTCGAAATAGTTTCTTAAGTTTCATCATGGCTAACCTCCCTGATTTAATCACATGACTTATAACATGGAGGTCATAGGTTTCTTGCTGTTTGTTTTTAAATACTCTTTTTACACAGATCATTGAGTCATGGACAACAACTGTAGTCTAACAGCGGAAGTGGAGCCCAAGCTTTCTGGCACAGGCCTGTAATTCAAACTCTAGGGAGGTGGAAGCATGATATCAGGAGTTCAAAGCCATCCTTGGCTACATAGCAACTTTGAGGCCAGCCTAACTTACAGGAGACAAAATTCCAGATGTGACCTGAGTGTCTTCTTGCATACTTACCTGTTTGGGAGAAGTTTCCCGAGACAGCCTGACAACCTCTGAAGTGCCGTCAAGTCTTTTCAAGCTCCAGCATCTTAGGTTTCCTAGGCTGAAGGAAGAGGCAGTGAGCCCAATACATATGAAGCTGGCAACTGGCCATAGACCATTTACCCCAGAGCTTCCATACCAAGAGCAGGACATTTCCCTTCAACACGACTCACTGTATGACTGGCACCCCAGAAAGATCACAGGCTGTAGGTCTGGAGATACCTGCTATCAATTTTCAACCTGGACACTTCACACAGTAATGTGTCAATGAGCCTCAGCAGGTAAAAGCACCCGCTGCCATGCCTTACAACTCTCTCAGTTTAATCTCCAGGCCCTACACAGTGGAAAAGGAGAAAACCAATTCCTGCAAGTTGTTCTCTGACCTCGATGTTCTATGCCATCCACGGGCCCATATACATGGACATGCGCTCACAAGAAACAGAATTAAAGGTTTGAGTTAAGGGGCTCGAGAGATGGCTCAGCAGTTAAGAGCCCTGACTGTGCTCTTCCAGGCCCTGAATTCACTTCTCAGCAACCACGTGGTGGCCGACGACCATCTGTAATGGGAGCTGATGCCCTCTTCTGGTGTGTCTGAAGATAGCAACAGTGTGCTCATATATATAGATTTGAAATAAGGGCCTGGTGTGGTGGAATACACACTTAATCCCAGCACTTGGGAGCCAGTGGCAGGCAGATCTGAGTTCAAAGGACCACAGGGACCCCTGGGAGGAAGCAACTCCCCCAGGCCAAGCATATTTGAGGAATGGGAGTTCAAGGTCACCTCACCTAACCCTCTTCAAAACAAAACACAACCTCCCAACACCAAAGCCTTCTTTAGGTATTAGCACACCAGCCAGGCTTCTACCATCTGCAGACTCTCTGCCCCTGATTTTCTTGCTTTCTAAGAACCAGGCCCAGGGTCCACATGGAGCCAGAACCATGTGCCACCACACCTTGGGTTTTACTTGACCATCATGTCAACTGTGATACTCATGCTGTATTTTGTAATTGTTTTAAGGATTTAATACCTCTCGAGCACAGAAAAAGAATATTCAGCTGCATTCTAACAGCACGGCTGTACACACTTTTAATACCAGCACTCGGGAGGCAGAGGTGAACAGGTCACTTTTGAGTTCCAGGACAGCAAGAACTACGGAGAAACCTTGCCTCAAAACAAGACCAAAAAAAAAAAAAAAAAAAGCAAAAAGAAATGACTTATTTGCCTATGCACCATGTGCAAAAAAACTAGCCCACAGTAAAATTTACCCACGTGGCAGGTGTCTGCCATATTGTCTGAAATTTCTATAACCTTGCCCTGGAGAGAGCAGGGCAAGGCCTCAAACCACTTCAAAAATGTTCTGGCAAGCACTGTAGGAATGCACAGGGTCACTGCAGACCCAAGCACGCTGGAGGCTTGCTAAGGACATCACTCAAATCCTGCACAACCCACACTGCAGTCTCCCATTCCCTTGAGAACCCTAGGGGAGAGAATTAGTCCTGAAAATGAATTCAGGATACGGAGTTTGGCTTCAGAGGCCACCTTGCTTCCACAACTGACTTACCAGGATATCTTTCAGAAGAGCTCGATCATCCCTTCCACGCTGTGGGGCCACTCACCTGGCCTCGATGTCCACCTAGGGAGGGGAGACAAGACACATTCAGCCCCAACCTGTGCCTATCACCCAGTTCTAGCCCCTCCGAACGTTCTCTTGTATAAAAAAAAAAAAAAAAAGTAAAATAAAAGCAAAGAACAAAAAAACCGAAAATCTTGAAAGAAGATCCTGCTTGCTTCGGCAAGATTCGCTGGGATTTATAAGGAATCCTCAGAAAGAGGCCTAAATCAGCCGGTGGCACGTGTCTCCCCCGGGGAAAACGTCCCTGCTCCACCGCAGGCTGATCTCCCGCGTCCTGCCACCGAGCTCCGCCATCCCTACCTGGACTCGAAATACCCCTGCACGGCGCCTGTGTCCCGATGACGGAAGATGCAGAAAAGGTGAGGGCCGCAGCACCGGCGAGAATGTACCCGCCAGCCATGGCTGCCAACTGAGCACGCACACGTGTGCTTAAAGTTATGGCCACAGCAGCGCGCCGGGCGCGCGCAACGTCATCACGCAGCCCCGCCCGAAGCTGCGTGCGCGGGCTCAAGGACGGTGACGTCACGGTCCCGGGGCGTGGCCTCGAGCGCGGGCTGCGCAGGCGGCGCGGGCTGTACTCGCTGGGCCCGCCCTGGTGGTGGCGGTTGACCACATGCGAACCTCAGCCTCGGCGGCCGCCTTCTACATCACATCCTCTTAGAAATCCGGGTGCCACAGCTAGGGGCTGGAACCGGACGTAGCCGGGGCAGCTCTGGCTGTCCCACCGGGGCGGGCGCCCGGCTGGGAAACACGTGGACGCAGGCCTCTGAGGTGGACCAACACATGAGAAAGTGATGTGCATTTTTGTTTGCTTTGTTTTGTTTTTCGAGACAAGGTTTCTCTGTGTAGCCCTGGCTGTCCTGGAACTCTATAGAACAAGCTGACCACTAACTCAGATCCACCTACTTCTGCCCCCTTTCCCTCCCCCAGTGCTGAGATTAAAGGCATGCAACACCACTGCCCTTCTTTTCCTTTCTTTTCTAAATATATGTTTGCCTTTCCCCCCACCCCGCTCTCCCCAACATGGACTGCTTCATGAATTTGCTGCAGAAACAAGCACCAAAGGAACCAAGAATCTTTGTAATAGTTAAAACAAGCACCACAAGAACCACAAATCTTTGTAATAGTTGCCAAAGCTTACCAACACTCTGGTCGGAAGTCTCCTGAGAACCCCCTCCCAAACAAACACAGGGATCCTCAGCCCTTACTTGAGTTTTTTTTTTTTTTTTTTTTTTTGAGGTAGGTGGCTTAGTTCTCATTAAGTTTCTGGTGACACAAAACACAGGCTTGCACCTGAAAAGCAGTTAAAACTATTTTTGGCCCAGGAAGGTAGATCTGCAGCTAAAGGTTCTTGCCACTAAGCCTAAGTTTGAACCCCAGAAACCATAAGGTGGAAGGAAGACAGACTTCATCAAATTGTTTGTCCACCACACGTGTGGGGTCTGGGATATACATGTCTATGTATTAGACACACACACACACACACACACACGTAACAGAAATTACAAAGAGTTTATAATTGGTGCTGTAGAGATGGCTCAGTAGTTAAAAGCTCTTGCCACTCTTACAGACTCAATTCCCAACACCTACATGGTGACTGACAAAACTACCTTTAACTTCAGTTCCAGGGATCTACACATTCCAGCAGCTAGGAGTGCAAGCCTGGCTCTCCAGGCCCAGCTGGGGGTCATCTCTTCTAAGTGTAGTCAGGGACTGGAGGCTCCAACGTCAATGTTTTAATGACAAGGGCATGTTCCTTGACTTCAAATTGCAAAACTTGCCTGTTTTGGGCCAACAAGATGGCTCATTGGGTAAAGGCACTTGACACCAAGCCTGATGACCTGCGTTTGATTCCTGACACACTTGTGGTGGTGGAGAGGACCAAGTCCTACAAGTTGTTCTTTGACCTCCCATGCATGAAAACACACATTAAATAACTATAATTAAAAAAAAATTAATCCCTACTTGTATTAGTCATTACATTGTTTTAAATTATTTTATGTGTCTTAGGGTTTCTATTTCTGTTATCAAACATCATGACCAAAGGCAACTTGAGGAGGAAAGGGTCTATTTCACTTACACTTTTATAAAATAGTTTATTATCAAAAGCAGAAGGACAGAACTCAGGCAGGGCCAGGACCTGGCGGGCAGAGCTGACGAAAAGGCTGTGGAGGGGTATGCTTACGGCCTTGGTCTCCATGGCATGCTCAGCCTGCTTTCTTACAAAAGCAGCAGGTTTATAGGCTCACCAGCCCAGGGATAGCCCCACCCACAATGGGCTGCACTCTCCCCATCAATCATTAAGACAATGCCCTACAGCCAGATCTTACGGAGACATTTTCTCAATTGAGGTTCCCTCTTTTCTTTTTCTTTTTTTTTTTTTTTTTTTTTTTTTTTGGTTTTATCGAGACAGGGTTTCTCTGTGTGTAGCCCTGGCTGTCCTGTAACTCACTTTGTAGACCAGGCTAGCCTTGAACTCTCGAACTCTGAGATCCACCTGCCTCTGCCTCCCAAGTGCTGGGATTAAAGGCGTGCGCCACCACCGCCCGGCTGAGGTTCCCTCTTTTCAAATAACTCTGGCCTGTGTCAGTTGACATGAAGCACAGTATGGATATTTTGCCTGCATGTACTGTCTCTGTCTCTGTCTCTCTTTCTCTCTCTCTCTCTCTCTCTCTCTCTCTCTCTCTCTCTCTCTCCCTCTCCCCCCGTACCCTCCCCCCCATGTGTTGTGTGTGTGTGTGTGTGTGTGTGTGTGTGTGTGTGTTTTCCAGGGCCAGAAGAGGGTATCAGATCCCTGAGAATTAGTTACAGCTGAGAATCAAAGTCTGGTCCTCTGGAAGAAGAGCCAATGTTTTTTCTTTTTTTTCATCCTTTTTTACATCCCAACCGAAGTTTCCCCTCTGTCCTCTCCTCCCAGTCTCCCCCCACAACACCTCCCTTCCTCACCTTCATCCAGTCTTCCTTCATTTCTCTTCAGAAAATGACAGCTTCGGTGCTGCCCAAGGTACCAAGCTAGGGCGTAGGCCCCGGGGGATTAAAGAAAGACTCAGACTCGGGTCATCCATTATGAGAGAATGTCAATGCCTTTACTGAACAAGTTCAATATATACACCAAGCCAAGGAAGGAAAAATACAAACTCAAGAAAAAACAGGATCTCAACTGGGGGGCAATAGGATGTCAACTGCAAATTCCCTTCCTGGGGCACCATGTATTAGTCAGGATGTGAAAAAGCAGGAACTCAACTAGGGGATGGGGAAGGCGGCAATAGGATGTCAAGTGTAAATTCCTTTCCTGGGACACCATGACTTAGTCAGGATGTTTTGATCCTAGAGGAACTGCAGAATGTTACTTAGTAGACAGTAGCATATGGAAAGGCTCAGCCAGGGCATAGCAGCCCTTCGGGGTCCTACAAGAAAAGGCAGCAAGTGCTCTTTAACCACTGAGACATCACTCAGGCTCAGTCACTTTCTGTCAGGAAGGGATATAGCTCAGTTGGTAGAGTACTTACCTAGCATGCTCAAACCTGTGTACTCAGTCCCCTGGACCACATAAACCACGTACAGTAACCTATGTCTGTGATCTGAAACTATCCTCATCTACAGAATAACTATGAGGCCAGCCTGGGATACATGAGATCTCATCTCAAAAAAAGAATAGCTATATGAGTTCATCTTTGAGGTGTACCTCTACACAGGCTTAGTCCACAGTTGCTTAATGGAGGCCTTTTCTCCCTCAGTCAATAAGTAAAGGCTCAATGAGTTTGTACTGTCTACTTTCTAGGCCTAAAAAATAATGAGAGCCCAAGCAACCTCTAGATTGTAATGCCCTTTCAGAAACTCAGACATCCCATATAATGCCCAGATAGAGCAACTGAGAACTGAAGATGCCTGATACCACATCCTAAATGAATATCGAATGCACAGTTTTGGCTGATCAAGGCACCATGACTGTGGAGAAATGGAACGTTCAAATCAAGAGGCAAAATTATCTGGGGATATCTTTAGTCTCTTTTATTTTATGTTTTTATTTTACATATGTGTGTGTATTTGTATGTGGATCTGTGCATATGTACAGTGTCCTCAGAGGCCTGAAGCTGGAGCTACATGTGGTGGTGAGCACAACCTTAAAATGTGGGTACCAGACACCAGCCTCCTTCTGGTTCTCTGGGAGAGTGGCAAGCACTCTGAACCACTGAGCCATCTCTCCAGTACCTCTTTAGTCCCTTTGAACAGCCACATATTACCAAGATATATATTGATTAATAAGTAGGCTTCTTAGCTGGGCAGTGGTGGCGCACGCCTTTAATCCCAGCACTTGGGAGGCAGAGGCAGGTGGATTTCTGTGTTCGAGGCCAGCCTGGTCTACAAAGTGAGTTCCAGGACAGCCAGGGCTACACAGAGAAACCCTGTCTCGAAAAACCAAAAAAAAAAAAAAAAAAGTAGGCTTCTTACAGCTTATCCTTAAGCTTAGCAGACTTCTAGCCTCCACTGTCCCTGACACTTAGGAATGATAACAACTTAGGACACCTACAGAGGGACTGGCTATGCTTTGCTGTATTAGGCTCCCCTGATGCTCCACCAGTGTAATTGGTGAGCCTGTCGGCTTAAGGATTTCCTTGGTTCTGCCATTATAAAAGTGCATGTGACCCCCTTCCAGGGTAGAACATGTTATTCGAGGTAGCTTGAATTCATGTTTCTCCATCATCACACATATTTGGCTCAGAATAATGTACTTACTCATTTCCTTTAATGAATCATTATCTCATGTTGACAAAATATTGTAAGTCACCTTGGATAAAACTGCTGTTCAATCGTCAAATTGATAACTTTTTTCAGGCTTTTATCTTCAGGAAACTAGAATATGCCACCCCCAGATATGATTATAGAAATCATGGGCTTTTTTTTTTTTTTTTTGGTTTTTCGAGACAGGGTTTCTCTGTATAGCCCTGGTTGTCCTGAAACTCACTCTGTAGACCAGGCTGGTCTTGAACTCAGAAATCCGCCTGCCTCTGTCTCCCAAGTGCAGAGATTAAAGGCATGCGCCACCACCGCCCGGCCTTCATGGGCTTTTTATAGTTACAGGATAAAAGAAATTCATAGATCAAGGCTTTTTTCAAATTGCTATCAGTTTGGATGAACATATGCCCCATAGACTCCTGTATTTGAACACTTAAATCCTGGTGGGTAACACTGTTTTGAGAGGTTTAAGAACAATGGTTCAGCCGGGCGGTGGTGGCTCACGCCTTTAATCCCTGCATTTGGGAGGCAGAGGCAGGCAGATTTCTGAGTTCGAGGCCAGCCTGGTGTACAGAGTGAGTTTCAGGACAGCCAGGACTACACAGAGAAACCCTGTCTCGAAAAACCAAACCAACCAACCAAACAAACAAACAAAAACCTCCTGCCATTTCTCATCTATCCTCTCTGCTTTGTGCATACAATTCAAGAT